TCGCCCGTAGTGAGGACGTACAAATCGTCGAGGAATGCCAACAGCGTGTCGGAGGAGTGGAGGGCGGAGGCAGCTTTCCGCAAAGCTTCGTGCTGTCCCAAAGAGTAGAGCGCAGGGGCTAGCGGGTCGCCCTGCTCACACCCTTCTCCTTGAGCGATGTTCCGGCACCTGCCTTGAGCATCCCACCAGCAGTAAGTGGATGGTCCCCCGTAAAAGAGCCGCACGAAAGGGAGCAACTCTGGCGCGGCCGCTTTGAGTGCAGTCAGGAAGGACGCCCGAGACATGGTGTCGTAGGCACTCCGCCCGTCGAGAGAAACCAAAACTGCGTCATCGCGCAATTCCAGTGCCGTTCGCACACATGCCGCGAGGGCGTCCGTGCCAGCACGTGCTTGCAAGGCAAACTGGTACGGTCGCGTCGCCTCAATCAAACAACTGATACTACTGAGATGGCAGCACTGCTGCAAGCAGCCTGGCAAGGCGGGAGAGCTTGTAGCACAAAGCTAGTGGGCGAGGCTGGCAGCGGGTCCTGCACGGGTGACGATATGAGACCTGGTTTGCGCTGCCGCTTCGGTGCTTCGCAGGCGGAGTCGAGCTTTTTTTATCCCCATGGCACGAATGTCCTGCTCTTGCCGCACGTTGTTGTGCAACCTCCGACTGTACCCCTTCTCCTCCCTACCCGCCACGTGGCGGCAGGCAACTCGGCCCTGATGCGTCCGCAAGGTCGAGTGCGCGATCCAGCTCTGGGGCTGACCGCTGGCTCGCGCGAAGCGGCGTCGGCCAAGCTGACCCGAGGGCAGTGCTTGTGACGGCTTGTTGTACCGACACAGCCAACATTGCCCACCAACGTCTGGCCCATCCCGACGAAGCAGCACTGCGCACGGCCGGCGGAGCTCGCTGAGCACGGACACGCACAAGGTCTCGGAGCAGCTGGTGTGCACTGGCGTTCCACCGGCCGAGGACCTCGCTTCCGAGCACCACCAGCTGTTGCGGGCCACCATTCAGCTCTGGGTAGGCGGCTCGCTTGCGGCGCTCGGCGACTCGCAAGCTGGCTCCGTCGTACGCGGCAGCGCAAGGCTGCGGCAAGCCCGTGCGTGACAGCGGCGACACGAGTGTGGCGTCGCAGCACAGGGCCCCGCCGAGAGGCGTCGCTCCGTAGATGACGAGGTCCAGGCGGCACCGGTCATCGGAGCAGACGTTGGGTGCTGTCGTGTGCGCAAGCCACTGATGGGGGGCCACCTGCCCATCTGGACCGACGGCCTCCCGAGCTACGCGCACCCACGCGCGTTCCAAGATCTTCGCCCTGCGCGATATCAGACCGGTGCGAGTGCATGCGAGGGCCTGGTCGCCAAAAGCGTCCACTTCTCCTCCGTCCGCGGCGCGGTGCTAGGAGTATTGCTTGGGGCGGAAGCACGCAGGCCGGCTCACAGGGTATTGCGGTCAACCAAGCACCGGCCGGCCTGCTTGCGACCGGAGAAGGGCGCATGCGGACGGCGACAGGGACGGCAGGAGCGTGCACAGCACTGCCATCCATGTGGCCAGTCACCCAGGCCCTGATAAGTCGTACGCGGGGGACGGGCGCCCACCCCGATCGCTTCCCAAGAAGGGCACCCGTGCCAACCTTCCGCCTGAAGGAGCTCGCATGCTTCAACTGCCCTCTCGAGGCTCTGCGCTCGCCCCCCGCCTGCAGTGAGCAACCGCGTGCAGGCATCTGCGAAGGCTGGGGATCGCTTGCGGAGCTCCGGCAACGCGTCGGCCCATGCAGCCCAATATGCGGCCGGCGCTGTGCGAACAGCAGAGCTGAGGCTCAAACCTCCGAGGGCTGCCGGCAAGGTTGCCATGTTCTGCGCGTGTGTAACGTCTGCTGTGGCGACGCCGCCGAAGCAGAGCTCCAACGTCTCCCACAGCGCTGTGTCATGTGCCTGCGCATAAGGCTCTACGGCCTGCGGGGGCACGGTGCGCAGCGCGTGGTTGGCTCGCGGCGAGGCGCACAGAGCCAGGAGAAGCCATGCGCACTGCAGATCGGGGAGTTGTGGGAGCTGGTGCAGCAACTCTCTCTCCGTCTGGAGCCGCTGCGCTGCCCACGCTGCGACGAACTGCGGGTGGCCAACCGGGGTGCCCAGCACAACCAGCCCACGCTCTGCCAGTGGCTTGTCCCCGCGCCACACATCGGCCCCCAGCTCATCGACTCCGGGAGGAGGCGGACCGCCGGAATAGCTGTACACACGCGTCTTCCCCTCATTTGAAGCTATGCCGCATTCCGTCTCGACGACTCCGACTACTATATCGCGGGCGGCACGTGCTCGCGGTCGTGTAGTCAGGACGTACAAGTCGTCAAGGAAGGCCAGCAAACTGTCCAACGCATGCAGGGCGGAGGCTGCCTTGAGCAGGGCACCATGCTGTCCCAACGCGAACAGGGCCGGGGCCAGTGGATCAGCTTGCTCGCAGCCTTCGCCTTGAGCGATGCTGCGGCAATTGCCCCCGCTGTCCCACCAGCAATAAGTTGATGGCTGTCCAGGCGCACGAAAGGGACCAATTCTGGTGCAGCGGATTGGGGAGCGGTGAGGAATGATGCGCGAGACATGGTGTCGTAGACGTTGCGGCCATCAAGCGACACGAGAACTGCGTCCTCCCGCATTTCGAGGGCGGTGCGCACGTGCGCTGCCAAAGCATCGGTGCCAGCTCTCGCCTGCAGCGCGTATTGGAACGGTCGAATCGCCTCATCGAACACATGTGCCCACCAGATGGGTCCCCGACAGAACAGTTTCCCCAGGGTGCTATGGAAGCTACCCAGCACAGGACCCCGGAGCCTTGAGCCAGGAGGTTTTTCTAGCATGGCATGGATCCGGCATGGCCGTTGCGCCCCAGAGCTGTGTCACCGAGCTGTTTTTTGTCTTGCGACAGCAGAACGTGTCCGGTCGAGCTAGAGTTTGATGGCCTACCGTTGCCTACCACTGTAAAGGGTGCACTCCGGGCACCACACTGCAGCTAGCGGGGGGGGCAGGCGGCTGGCCGGCACCTCCTGGAGCCAGGAGCAGTCCATGCCGCGAGTGGCAACGGCAGGCGCAGGCGCCGGAGGAGCAGCGCGCGTCACCTCGTCCGCGAGCAGGGGGCGCCTCGGCTCCTCCACTAACAGCGGACTATGCTGAGTGCAAGGCGAGACTGGGGCACCCATCATGTGGCATGGGTGCGGCTCCTCCCATCTTCAGGTATCTTCAGGTTCGACTGGCATCCCAGACGGGCCTGCTGTGTCAGATCTGCGCATGCCTTGAGAGGCGCCGCGGCTCCCCGCTACACGCCGCGCGGGGTTTGTTATCCTGGGTATACCCCTGCGCCCTGAAGCGGTCCATGGATCAGGTTGCATGGGGGGGCTTCGGAGCACTTACGATTAAAAACACGGACGTTCAAAGTGCTGTTTTCAGGGCATTTTTGTGTTCAGTCACTTTGAGCAATGCCTCGTATACGCCGCATCCGAGCTTTCGAATCGCTGCTATGCGCGCGACAATGCGATGCTCTCAGCAGCTTCACGTGGACTTCGGCCTGCGCCGTAGCTGCTTTCGTGCGCAGTTCCACGCCAACGGCATGGGCCAGTCTGTAGTGTCGGCTCAGGCCTCCGACAGACCAGCATACACCAGCGCTACTGTACCCCGTTTAGGTTGGCGAAGGCACCGCGCGAGAACTGCAACAACTCTGGTGGGATGGGCTCGAGTGGCTGTGGCAGCCGTGTGGCTGGGTCGGTCAGGGCGGCATCGTGGCCTTCGCAGGTCGACGCGACGCGCATGCGGCACGTGCAGCCACGAGGCTCCACACGAGGCATTAGCAAGATCGGTTTCCACGCGCGTGCTCTGACGCGGTCGTTTCGTCGAATGGGTCGACGTCGTCAAGCGTTGCCAGAGGGCGAAGCGGGACACTCGGTGCGGCAAAGGCCGGGGAGTCGAGCAACTCGGCATCGACGTGGCGGTCTTACCTCGCGGCCACATGTGCCGGCATGCGCCCACGATGGGGGTGGCACAGACACACGGGCTGGGCCAGGTTGGAGACAGGCTTGTCACAGCGTGGGCACGAGATGCATCCGTAGCTGTGTCGCTTGGTCTTTCTGGGAGTCGAAGTTGACGGACGCTGGAGTGCTGAAGCTGCCAACTTCTTCTTGTTGCTGGCCCGAGCTCGCTGAGTGAGCCTCGTCGCTGTGAACTCAAATCCTGCTTCTGGGTGTTCGTACCGAGGATTCAGGTTGGGAGGGTGCACTGACGTGCAGCTGAGCCGGGCCGAGTGCCTGTCCACCAACTCTCGTTAGCCGAGTGAAAAACCTCTGCCATGCGGAAGTGAAATGCATGTGCATGTGCACGCGCATGTGGATGTGTGCGTGCATGTGCATGTGCATGTGCATGTGCATGTGCATGTGCATGTGCATGTGCATGTGCATGTGCGCGTGCATGTGCATGTGCATGTGCATGTGCATGTGCATGTGCGTGTGCATGCAACATGCATGTGCATGTTTACATGTACGTGTACGCGTATGCGTATGGGTATGGGTGTGTGTATCGGTATCGGAATTCTGCAGCCCACTGACACTCTCAACGCAGGGGACTCGGCGCGAGGCCCTTGCTGACGCTGGTTTGGTGCCACGCACTTCGAGCGTCCCAAAAGAATGACACTAGATCGCGGGAATGTGGAGGGTGAACACTCAAGAGGCAAAGCAGGAAGCTGAGACGTAGCTCAAGCATCTCGATCGGCTCGTGTGCTGCATCAAATTCGAACTTAAGGAAGACACAATTCGAACCACAATGCCTGGCGAGAAACGGGAAACGGCTCTCGTGTCAGTTCTGTCATTGCTGTCTCCACCCGTTTGCACGTCCGAACCAGTGCACGACAGCTGCTTTTGTATGTTTCAATGTATGTATGAAGGTGTGTGTGCGTATGTTCATCCGTGTGTGTGTGTACCAACCTACACCGATGATTTAAATTTTGCTCTTTGGAACACAGTGCCCAGGGCGGCGAACGACTCAGTAGCCGTTGTCTGTCGCAGCTAAAAGCATGTTACAGTCGTTGAATTTGAAGGCAAAGGCCCAGTTCAGTCGCAAGCACAAACACATCATTCCCGGTAAGCACTGCAGGAATCCAATGCCAATAATCGCTGTGAGCAGGACACTGTTAGCCTGCGAAAACCCACAGTCTTTCGCCATGATCCAAAACGCAACGTCGGAGAAGACGTCATATTTCCCCAGGCAGGTCAGCGACACATGAAAGGCAACTTGTAGGCGATGGTGCTTGAGGTACTTCAGACCCTTTTGAGTCTGAGTGATGAGCCAATATTCGAATGCCACAGACGACAGTAGCAACAGCACAAAGCCTCCTTTGAAGCCTGCTGAGATGCCATGGCAGGTGTGCTCATCCGTACTTTCGAAGAGGCTGGCTTGTAAGTATGGAAGGAACGCGACGTAGAGCCAGAATCCAGATGACAGCAGCAATAGGCAAGTATACAAGCTGGTTCGAGAAGTCAACAAATCCGCGACATCTTCGTACACTGTTCGATCCATCGCCTGGACCGCCAACTCTGGATGTGCTGCAGGATACTTGTGAGACGCACGGTTTTGAGCGTGAGGAGTCACCGCTGCCGGCGCCCCACTTGCATGTTCGTGCTCCCGGTTTTCTAGAAGCACCTCCGGCAGCACGTCTCCATCGATTGCCTCCTTCTTCCATGAGCTTTGCAGCGTTGTTTCTGACCGCAATCTCTCGACACTCTGCTGAAGGCGACGTTGGTCTTCACGATGTCGTAGCTCTGCAATGTATTCGTTGACCGGCCCGCCCGCGGAACATGCCAGTCCTGCAACAACAGAGCTGATCGTGAACGCGCGGCTCGTCCAATGTAGCTTCTGCCAGAACTCAGCCAAAAAGAGGATCTGCAACACCCCTTGGATCACATCTTCAAAGAGCAAGCGGACGACACCCACAACCCTTTTCACGAATGCACCCTGAGAATCAGACATGGCCTTCTTCACGTCATCATGGATGTTGATGTCAAAGACCCACATGTCACTGTGATACAAGTTGTCATCCCACACTCCACCACCAGACATAAATATCCGCGTGCCGATACCAGTCGAATCAGGTAGCCCAACCATCACAAAGCCATCTCGCTTTGTCGGCTGGTTTTCTCCAGAGTCGTTCACCTGAGCCCAGGTTGCTTTACAGTCCACGCTTCGATCGAGGAGGCACACGAATGCATCCTCTTCCTGCCCTCTTTTGCTGGTTCCGCCGAAGATTACCATGTAACATCCAGTCAAGGCAACAAGACCGCATCCAAAACGGTCTACTGGTGGACTGCGGCAAATCACACGCGACCATCTAATTGTTAAAATGTCATCTGAGTCATCTGTATCTGACGGCATCGGAAGCAAAATATCAGCCAGAAACATTGATATGTCCTGCTGCTCGGGATGCGGTCGTCCGCCACACAAGACGAAGCTCGTAGCACTACATTGGGCGACTTGATAGAATTCTCGGGCATCTGGAACTTCTCCATCGCCCCTGCAGGATTTCCAACAAGCTGTTGCCAAGTCCAGCTGTGCCACGTCGCTGGTTCTGGTGTCTCCCAGAACAAGGAACGAATGCACCATCACCAAACCACAACATCCTGACCTTGGCCCCGGCTGCGTGCCAGATGCTTGAACCCGATGCCACCGCGATTGGTCAAGTCTCAGTAACCAGCAATCCCGCAATCGCCGCCCCTCTGACATACCCCCGTATACAATGACATGTCCAGGCCAGCCCCCGGCAGCATGGCCTCCACGTGCTGCTGGCTTGGCTGAGTCTACGGCAAGCACAACCTGGGTCCACCGGCGTCGCAATGCATCGAAAAGCCATGCATCATCAAAGCACGATATGTCACCTTCCTTCTGACACCATCCACCGAAGATCAAGATCGACTTGTCGTCAAGAGCCGTCGCCGAGTGCGCAGCTCGCCCCTTAAAACCTCCGTGGGCTGACACATTGGTCCAGCGCTTGGAGCAATTCAGCAGCACCTCGCCGTATTGATCTTCAGTCTGTATTAGCGGTGCAGCTTCGATCATGTTTTGTCGCTGCAAGCCCGTTTGCTGCGCAAGGAGATGCAGCTACTCAGCGACATTGACACATCTGCAAGGCAGCACCTTGCTAAATCTGACCCATCTGAGCATCAGCCTCACATCCCAAAACATGGTGCAGCTGCAATCGAATTCCTGTCGGACATTTTTCTTCCAGGGCCATGCTTTGCCGCATTCCGTGGTGACACCACGGCGACACCCCAGCGACAGGCTCGGCCCTTGTCGGCTCACGGCTTCGGCTTCTTGGGTTTCGCTGGTCCGGCTGGACCCCTGAGATCTGAAAAGCAACCGAACAGCATCATCTCGGATGTCTGAGACATCGGCTTGGAAGGGCCAATCTTTTCGGCCTGGAGAAGCGGCAAAGAGCGTTCACTACGCATTTACATTTGGACTTCGGCTTCCCGCCTTCCGCTTCTCCGGGCCAACGCTCGGCCCGACCGGTCCGACGGCAGGGCCAGCCGAAGGACCTAATCTCTTCGTTTCAGAGAGTCCGACTCCAAATTCACTTCGGTTCTCTTGCAGAGCTCGGCCTTTGGGAGGTCCCGCTGGCCCGACCGGACCCACGGGCCCGACCGGCCCTCTGGGTCCAACCTCTTGACTCTATACTCTCAGAGGTTTAGGACAGAGACTGAAACCTCATTTACACACCTTTGGGCTCCGGCGCTTGGGCCGACGCCTGGGCCAACTGGACCTCACACGGCGGGTAAAGGCGCACGTCGCCTTGCTCCGTGCTCTGCTCCGCGGCTCCGCGGGCTCCGCGCCTCGTGGACCAGCCTCAGAGCGGACGGGAAGACAAAAATCACCACGGAGCCAGGCCGGCAGACTGCAGGCCGAGGCGGCTGCGCCGGGGCCTCTTTGCGGCCTCGCCGGGCCTGGGAAGAGGAGCAAAAGAAGCGCGCAGCGGCATAGCGCAGAGCACGAGAACACAAGCATCATCGCTTTCCCTGTGCCGACACTCTGTCGCACGTTTCAGACTCGAGCCGACGCCAGGCCTCTGCAACGGGTGCTGCAATGCCGCGAGTCATCAAGACAGGGTGCCAAGAATCGGACTTTGCATCACTGCCTGGGATGATTTGACTGTCGCATCAGAAGATTTGTTGAGACATTTAGCCCTAAAGCATTTCCCACATGCCAAGCCACTGTAGTCTTTTCTCCTCTTGGGCGGAACAGGCTCATAGAGCTTGGGGTTATTCCTGGCCAATGCACTGATGTATCACAGCAGCACGCCAATGTACGCATGTAAAGAGAGTTCTGCAGCCAGGGTACACTCCGATTTCTGCCACTTGCCCTGCTTGTTCTAACTCACAAAAAAAATCTGGCCTGGCACTCAGCACATGCTCACCCAGCCCGCCAAGGATGCTGTCCCCAAGACATGCTGCGCTAATGAGACTTCTCACTACTGTATTGTTGGCACCTCAAACTGAATCCTGGGTAGCTGCGATGACACGTGGAATGCCATGCCTCCCGAAAGAGAACAAGGAATATAGACTGGTATCCTTGAAACACCGACTGTGCCAGAGCCCCATACTCTGTGTCAAGTGCCAACACTGTACCAGCAGACTCCAAAGGTTTAGGAGCGAGACGGTGCAGCAAACACTAAGCAAAGCCGCCACAGCCTCACATGCCGACATAAGGCTGGGATCAGAGCAGCGAGAGCGGGAGAAGATGCAAAGGGGGCCACCGCCACAAGAGCGGAAGAGCAACACAGCACAGAAGAGCTTAGCAGCAGCGCTTCATCGGGCCTCAGCTCCTCGTCCAGCGCCCGCAGCTGCGCGGTGAAGCCCTCGTTTGGGTTCGCCTCCGCCACGCAAGAAGATTTCTTGCAAAAAAACCCGCTTCCGCTGGGCGGGGCCTCTCTGAGGGCTTCTCTGCGCTGAGATTCCGCCGCACGGCAGAAGACAGAAGACCCCACGCCTGCGTCCGCGCGTCCTTGGCGATGGCCATGGCCTCGTCGAAGGTCTTCCTGCGGACAAGAGGTGGTGATGATCGGCTTCACGACACTAGTCTTATGATGCGCATGGTGGTCATAATGTTGAAACTGCGATGCTGATGATGCTGAGGATGCTGATGTTGATGATGACAACGACGGTGCTGGCGATATAGGATTACGACGAATCAATACGGCATGTCTCATTTAACCACATGCAAGATGGTCTTCGCATCTGGCCACAGCAGCACCACCATTCCCCAAGCAGTTTGAGCACAGTTGTCAAGGCCATCCACGCTCCTCTTTGCTGCTCGCATGTTAACGTATCAAGCCCGTGAGCGATTTTGCTCGGGGGTCTTAAGCAAATCTATGCCGCCATCGTCTCACTTATGCAGTCCATGAAGTCCTGAAAGAGCTGCGGCAGTCAAGCTATCTCCACAAAGCAGCCGCAGCAAGCCAACATTGTGAGAACAGACCAAATAGCATCCGCCTGCATGCTTTCCTGTGTCTCTCGGCGCGTGCTGCTCTCGATGATCTGCTTTACAAAGCACCTTCCGCCAGGCAAAAACACCTGCATTTGCGAGCGAAGAACTGCCCTAAGCACCTGTCGACCCAGTTGATGCCAAGGCCCATGTCGACCGAGACCTCGATGTCTGGCCAGGTGCTAAGAGACTTGCTATCCAGCCCTCACATCCCGTTAACTCGTGAGATGCACACTTGTGGTCCCTTGTCGCTGGGGGCCTGCAGAGGTGTTCCACCAGTGCATGCCCGTCCATGCACTCTGAGAGAAAACAGGGAGGTCCACCTCCACGAAGGTGTGTTCGTGGTGCACACGGAAAGAATTCGCATACGGAATGTCCTGATCACTTTGCGAGGAAACCTCACCTTTACCCACACTCTCCGTGCAGCTAAGGAGGATGCAAGAGCTCTGGTCACCTTTTGGAGGATGACCTGCCGGCTTCTCGCTCAGTCTTTTCTGGACATGTGGCTGCGCGCGACGAAACCCCAAGCCACTTCCCACAGAAGCTCCGCTCTGGCTTGCAGCTTTCATGTCGGACTAGACTGCTCCACGCAAGTGGCATCGTTGCAATGATATGTCACACCTGCATCTGTCCAACGATGGACCATGTGTTTGCGTGTGTCAGTGAACTACGTTCGGGCGTGCCTTTGACCCCTCTGCACTGGGACAGAGGAAGTAGACCAAGGACCTTAAAGGGATAACATCCACCTCACACAAAGGTAGATTGGACAAGGATCCTGCACGCGGGTCTTCTCCGGCGCCATTGGTTGGGGCCTTAGCTACTGAGTTCTGGGCAGAGCAAGGATCAGTCTACTCAGCAGTGGTGCATCAGAGCTTGCGGCTTCAGTGGCAGCACGAAGTGCAGGCACTTCACCAGTCCTCCTGCCAACGGCTCCCAGTCACGCTCGACCTGCCAAAGACCAAGGGCAGCTCCTACGAACTCTCGATCGCAAGGTTCAAGGGGAGGAAGAGCACAGTGGCTGGCAAGCTTCTGAAGGGCATAGCACGCCATGTTCTGGAAAGGTCTCCCTCGTCCCCTTCGAAGTACATAAAGACGTGCTCCTCGCTAGCACCAACACTTCAAAGACTCTAGGCTAAAGAGATCTAGACACGGCGACCATCAGGCCGAATTAGAGTCGCTCAGGTGCAGCGAGCTTTCCCCACGAATTCCGACAGAGTATATCCTAGAGGATACCTAACAAGTTTGGGGTGAATTCCTGTTGTGGAGATTCGGTTGCGCAATGCTTGCTTCCTGCATGCAGGCACAGATACTGCTGAACGCAACACCGTGCGGCTTCTGCTCAACAGGCCGGTGGCACCATGTTCTGGGCCCCCATTCTGTCATGCAACCTCAGAAGCAGGACTTGCTCCGAGCTTCTGAAAGCCTCTAAGGTAGCCACGGCCGCGCTGGCCTGGCCTCATGATCGGATTCTCTCGGCCGTTGGTGCTGAACATTTGTCGCACCTGGCACTTCACGGAAACTCATCCAGCAGCACTACATGTGCACCAACAGAATTTTCTGACGGGTGCCTTCGAGATGGTTAACCCGTCAGGAAGCACAGACGTGAAAACAGATCGAGTCGGACAAGGTGGCGATCCTGCAAACACGAGGCTAATGATGTGACACTAACACAGTCGGCAAGAAGCATCTGCCTTTGGTGAGCTTGAGCTCCTCCAGCAGCACGTCCATGCCCGGCAGAGGTGGAGAAACACCTGGGGGGCAAGGGTACGCAAGCCCGTTGCGCCCATCTTCCCGCAAAGTCTGGTCAGACCTTGAGACGATTGTTGCCATAGTTGCTGCAGGACCTGCGCTGGCCTTCGATCAGGCACAACACAACAACACTTGCTGCTGCATCTGAGCGCGAAAGCTTGATGTTTATGCAGTGCTTTCAGCTAGACATCCACACGTCATCGTGGCTCTTACGACCACTCCTGAGGCCAGCCTACAAAGCATCCACTTCCCGGAACAACTCTGAGAGTCTTGCCGGTTTCACATGTGCTGCTGTTTGAAGAGATGGGAAGCACCAGCTTTCAGTTTGTGGGTTGCCACGAGCAGTGCTTTTGCTCTGTAAGCGCCGTACCCCGCGGTACCAAACCTCGACTGAAACACATCCGGTCATGTCATGTGAAGCTCGGAGAAGTCTCTCGATGCCGCCTAGCAGCTGGAGCCTGAGACGGCCGGGTGGCTTAGAGAGCTCCAGCTCGGCCTCCATCGAGAACGAGAATGCAATGAAACCCAGGCTAAAATCCCAAAGCTTGCTCTAGAATGCAGCGACTCCTCGCAAAGGTTGCTCTGCCGGGACCTCAGCCATTGCCACTCCCTTCCACAGGGCTTCTTGTGACACACATCTTGCAACTACAGGAGGAGGGCCCCACGATGACTTTGAGGACTGGCTGGGTGTCGCGTTCGGGTCGAAGACCGAGACACCTTTCAGTCATCTTTGTTCGACACTCGACGCTGGTTTACAATCAGAATTGCCCGCCATCAAACCTGCTTCCGACACATCAACAAAACGGTCCTCTAGCCTCGAGTTTCCTTTGCAGTCCCCTCCGAGCTGCGAGCGTTGCACGTCACTCCAGGGCATCAGCTCCGTTGCTCGCTCAGACGACACCTGCAAGTCGCGAGCTTCCAATATCTGAATTTCCTCCCAGGGCAGCGGTGCGCACGGTGCTGGGAAGCCGACGAAGAATCCCTGTGTGCTTTGACTGTTTTGCAAGGAGAAGCCCGCATCCTTGGATCGCTTAGCGGCTCTTAACTGTTAGGGTTCGTTGCACACTAAATCACTTCTCCCTACCCCAGCCACCCTCGCAAGTATTCTGCCACCGAAGACCCCAAACACCGAAGAACCATCTAACGCCAACAGACTCCGAAGACCACCCTGGGAGTCCACTACGTGGCCGAAGAGTGTGCGACCAAACATCGAGCGAGCTGAAGGTTTGTGGAGAAGCAGCCCAGTCTTCACCCAAAAACACCACAAAACTTTCACAGCACTGTGTGGGTGAGCACCGCAGTATTGAATTGCGATCATTTCGCTGTACGTTCTGCAACGGGAGCCGTGCAACCACCGCCTGCGCCTACCGTGCGCCGCAGGCCTTGTGGCTCTTACAGATTTCAGTCAACTCACAGCTTCTAGCACGCACTCTCTCTTGAATTTATGGGAACTCGAATGAACTCGGTTTGCTGTTCCCCCTAAGCTGCCAAAGACCCGAAGACCTTTTGGCCTTTGGATTCGTGCAACGTCCGAACGTCCCTGACACGACATGTGTAAAGGCATTATGCTCGGCCATCGACATGACGTGATCGCGTCGGACACCACCCACCAAGCAGACCGCCAGTGCCTACATACTCAGGATTCTGGCTCGGCGTGCACAAGCTGCGAACTTTCCTCGAGTGGAAGTGCTGGTGAAACGAGCCAGGAAAAGAGAAAAGAAAGAGATAGAGCTAGCAAGCTTGAAGAGCAGAAGCTTCAGCTTGCCATCCCTGAGCCCTTACGAAAGCGAGCCCTTTCAAGGAATGCCTGTAATTCAGAACTATCGTCGGGGTATTTCCAAGTCGAAAGGTCTCCCCAAGAAAAAACGCTGTTTTAGAAGGGTTAGAGGAGGCGATTAAAGGTACCTTGTCTCCACATTGACGATGATATTTCAAGCTCTCCCGTGCAGCAAGAAACGCTGAGCAGCATCCGCCGCGGACACCAGGGTTGCTCACCCTCTGCTGCGATGCAGGTGACGACCTCATCCGAACGGCGAGTGGCACAAGCAAAACCGTCCTGGAGGCCCAAGGCCTCGCAAACGGCGTTGCCGCCACTGGCTGAGTTGGCAGTCACAGAGCCCTGGCAAGGCTGAACGAACAGCACCCCTTCGCAATTGCTTGCCGTTCAGGGAACGACGATCATTGCCCCTGCCATCTTTCGACCAGCTCGGCCCTAGTCAGCCGCACGCGCCTCCAGAAGATCCTCCAGATCCACCAAGCCTGTCCGCACGTGCAGGAGCCGCGCCTCACAGAGCTGCAAGCTGCAAGCACTGCAGGCGCCCGCTTCCGTGCCTCCGACACGCAGGAAGATGCCAGAGCAGTGCGAAGAGTGGGCCTGGCACCGCACCGGCGCGGCCAGCTTTCCTTTGCTTTATGTCCCCGCTCTGCAAGCGTGTCCGGCTCGCAGGAGCTGCTGGTATTGTCGCTGCAAGCTTCGAACCTGCATCCCAACATTCCCATCATCACCGTTGCTGTTAGCTCAGCTCAGAGCCGTGAAAAATTGCTAACTACATCAGAAACAATGATCTCCAACGCCTGGCGCAGGGCTCGGGTTGCTGCCCTGACGGCCTCTCCAACCCGACTCCCAGCTGTGTTGTGGCGTCTCCAGACTAGAACCATGACATCCAAGCCCTGTCCTCTGCATTGTCAGGCGCTGCATCTGAGCAAAGAGGCGCTTCACCTGAACAGAGGCAGCACACAGACAGCACCGCAAGTGTAGCGTGTCGCTTCGCTCAGGCGCCTTCAGGTACTCGTCTGCCAGAAAGGCGAAAGCAGAAATGTTTGACCTCACAGGGCAATGCCTGTACTATGCACCGGCATCTGATCCCTGAAGCAAAACCCTGAGATGCACACACACTTTGCCATCAGAATGGAACAGGGAAGCTATTACAAAAGCAGGGAGATATTCCGACATGGTGGCAGGAGTCAATGGTCTCACAGAAGCTGCCTGTGCACATGCATGAGGATTTGAAGCTACTGCTACTGTATGGCCAGTGTGGAGCCACACGCTGCCCAGCATGACATGCACTGGAGCTGGCACTGAGAGATGTGAAGCACTGCCAGGAAAACACAAACGGGCATTCCGTCCAGAAGCAGTCGTAACGACGTCTAATTTGAACCCCAGCATCCTGTAGTATTTCATCATGTAGGACATTGCCATAGACCTTCAGCACAGGCGCATCTGCATGTCGGCACAATTATCTGCTGATGCACTGACTCGGGCTTGTGCACACTGCGCGAGACACCCTGCTGGCAGTGAATCAAGACAGAGCCATCCTCTCGTCAAGAGAGATGCCTACTCATCTGGCAAGTTCTTCTTTCCAACAGCAAGGACTACCCGATCCTCGCGAATTCGGGCCTTTTCCAAAAAAATCCAGCTTGCCTCCCAGCATTTTGGGACGAGTGCTTCCAACTGGAAGGATGGTCAAAAGCCTCGAATCGAGACTGCAGGGTCTCTGTGGCATTGTCGCCCATCGAGACACGGCAGTACTCGAATTTTGGATCCTGCGCTGAACACATTTCAATGCTGTTCAAGGATGGAGTCAGGCAATGCCGGTCGCACGCAACTCCTTCTCGTACACATTCGCCACGCCGCCATTCGAACGCGGTGGTGTGCAGTTTAGGACATACCTGGCAAACCGAAGCGAGGTCCGGACTTTCACGAGAACGAGAAGTACAAGGAGACAGCATCGCGGGTGTTGACCCTCGTCCAAGGACAGCATGCTTTTATTTGCGGCTCTGCAAAATGCAACCGACTCCGAGTGAATCCGAGTGCTTTTTTTGACTTCGCAGGCGCCGGAACCGCTTCTCAGGGACTTGGGATCGAAGATATCCGGCAGAGCACCTCTCAGGGGGGCAGAGTTGTCGGGTTTAGTGTTCAGGGTTTAGGGGTTCGGGGTGGGGTTTAGGGTTTAGGATTTAGGGCTTACTTCGGTTGCTTGGTGGATGGCATGTCCTGCGAGGCACCTGGGTCCATGCCAATGCCCAGGGGCCACTCGGTGAGTCCAAGCACGGGCCACCGACTCGTGGCCTGAACGGCCTGGATTGGAGCCACCCTCTTAACTTCAGACTCTCGCTGAAGTTTTTTGTTGAGGCTCCGAACCTCGTCGCCCTCCGCCGGGTCGCCGTCAATGCTACAGACCTCGTCCACGTCCATCAACTCCGGGGAGGCCTCCTGCGGCACCTGCGCACTGGAAGGATCCGCAGCCCTCAGCGTTGCAAACATCTGGGCCTCCTCGGCCTCGTCTGGGAGATCCGGCACCTGACATCTGAATGGCATCCTCTGTCTGGATGGGCATGAGAGCCGCTAGGGGGCCACTATGGGGCCGCTAGGTGCATCAAGCTGGAAGCCGCCTGTATGCGCCCATGCCAATAGCGCTCGCAGTGGCAGAGCCGCAGTCGGCAGCGGGCCACTGGCAACTGCGCATTTGCGAGACCACGGCACCGAGCACCTTGCCGCACCTCCCAAACAGCTTTGTGCCAATTTCAGCGCTGTGTCCACTGCCTTTTGTCGACGCCTCTGTCGGGGAAATTTCCGCCGAGGCCCATCGCTCCAGCTTCTGCCGCAGCAGGGAACCCTCTGCCTGGTGTCGCACTCTTCAGATTCACGCTGAGCACGAAAGAACTCTCACCCTCCGGCATCCTCCGGCCTCTGCAGCAAGACAGGCCTCCAAGGATGGAGGTATTGCTGAGAGGAGCAAGGCCTCCAAGCCATCCTGGCATTCGACAAATGCTGCAACGCCATGACGATCTGAAGAGGAAAAAAGGTCGCTCGCGCATCGAGCATGACATTGCAGCACTGCAGCACTTACTATACTTACTGGCGTCTGCTGAGAAGCTCCAGCAAGGCTATCGTCGGTGCTTTCAGTGGTTTCTGCAAATCCAATCAGCAGAAAGAACAGACTGTAGCGCTGCGGAACTTAGAGACTTAGACATGTGGCTGGCGCCATTGGCGCTGGGCGCCGAGTTACAGCATCACCCCGTGTCGGTGCTGCTAGAAAACACAGACCCCCTGCAAGTTATGCCACTCACTCATCACAAACGACAGAACCTGCAAACTGTCATCGACGAGAAAGTGACATCGATGATTTCAGCTACTGGTTACTGGTGATTGCCGCACTCCAAGTGGGAAGTAGGCAAGCTCCATCATAATGATTGCCGCACTCCAACTCGGAAAGCTCCATCAGTTACTTGGGCTTAGGGTACGCAGGACAACTCAAGCAGCCCGCAGACAAACAAGCAAAAACTCGCCAGAATCTCCAAGAAGACCGAAGGAAACACTTCCCATGTCCTGTGCCGGCAGCCGAGCTCGAGGCCACTAAAGAACTGCACTGGAACGGAGCGCATCACGGTTTCGGACAGAACCATCCTCCAAGCATCCAACATGCTGCGTGAAGATGCCTGACCACGTGCGGTCCCACATGAAATCAAATCAAGCTCAAAGCCGAAAGCCTGAATGCCAGTCACAGTCAGTAGGCCTCGGCCATTTCCTGACCCGGCAGCCACTGACCCACTTTCTCGAATGCATCTGGCAACAACTCCTGGCTTGACATCAGATGCCCATCTTGGAGACTTGCTTCCAGGCTCTGGGGATCCAGGCCTCGAAAAGAGAGCGGTATCTGGCGGCACCTTTGGCCTCATTCCAACTCTACCAGGGCTCTTTGTGTGAAAGCATTGACCGGACATGTTGCCATCCAAAAGCTAGCCTTCGGTGCGACTAAGCTACCGAACACCTGGAGTTGAAGAGAACCTCAGAGAAGACAAGGCGGAGTCTTTTCAACAGTCGAAGAGTTCCACGGAGTTGCATGGAGTCCGTCTCATGCAGGCCGGGCAACATCACTGATCAGGAAGAGACGTGCCAAAACGGAGGCAGGGGCCAGGCCTGGCAGTGTCAGTGAAGCCACCTGACAGGCAGCGCGCGGCAGAAACTGATGGCAAAGCAGTGCTCGCCGCCCCCCCCATGTCTGCATCCAGGAACCAGGACGTGTGCCAGCATGGCGCCGTGTACCGAGGCTTGCTCCATGCAGAAGGCCATTGCCTCCCCCACAGCAGACCTGAAATGCAAGGTGAGCTGGGAAGATTGAAGCTTGCAAAGCAACACGAACACAAGATCCCTCCCCATCGCCCCATCGCCCCAACGCCTCGTCGGCTGCAGTTTGAAGAGCATCGACTCAAGGCGCTCCCTCTCTGGAATCAGATGGCTGATGAAGAGCTTTCCCTGGTCTTCGTACAATCGGAAGTGAAATTGTGCCTCGCACATCCGAGTGGAAAAAGCTTCAAACCACCATGTCACTTGCGTTCATTATTTTTCTGAACTCTTTCTTTCCTTCCAGGGCTTAGGAGGCACGGCTTCTGATGGCGGTTTCCGAGTTCCTTTCCCTTGCTTCTTCTTCTTAGCTTTTCTTGAGGGCCGTACGGTCTGCCGGGCCGCACGTCAGATCTCCCGCGGGTTTGCGGAAACCAAAGTCTCAGCCGCACGAAGAGTTTGAAGCAATTCCTGTCTCTTCTCTTTCTTTCACCAGGCATGAGGGGCTCTCTCTCTCCTTGCTTTGCTCGGGGCTTAGGGCGGGGGCAGGCCTCGCTCTCTCTTCTTCCACAGGGCATAAGGGTCTTTCTTTCTGAGGGTCTGAGGAAAGGGTTTCCCCTCTCCCCTGTCCGGTCTTGGAATGGTGAGTGAGGAAGAAGGGCCGGTTAGACTCGCTCTCCCCGCTAACCTCCTGGGAGTCAGCTATTGCACCCCCCAATGCAGCCTCAGAAACGACCTAGTCAAGCCCGTGAGTTGGAACGGCATCTTGTTGGTTTTTCGCCCCTGCTTGGACTCGCTGACTCCTGCATCCTCGTCATTGCGGTCCGGCGGACCTTCTGTCATGCTGTCCTCGTGCGCTTGCACCCCGCCGTCAATTGTAGCTCGTTGGATCTGTACTGATGGGCTTCCAGCTCCATGGGCTCTCCCCCACAAACAAAAAACTCTTCTTCAACTCGGCCAGAGGAGCGTCCTCTCTCTTTCTCCATCTGTCCCTCGTCTTCTCCCGTGGCACCTGCCGCTCCTGGATCCCAAGATGGAGGCTGAGGCGACGAAAGCGCTCACTGCCGCCGGCTTTCAGCAGCTCCTCCTCAATCTCGGCCACCTGATTGATGCCCATCTTCTTCTGCACGCTCTGTACAGTACATGCGGCACCGCTGCACCACCTGCTCCGGGCGCAAGGGCGGAAGCTCTTCCGCCGGCAAGGCACACCTCGATGCTCGGAGCAGATCCGTGGAATCTGTTGCGCTCTTGTCCGATTTCGCGAACTCCTTTACACGGCCGATCCGAGCACGAGACATGAGACAGTGCCTGAGGAACACAAAGAAGCTGCAAAGGGAGCGACATTTCGACAGTAGCGCCTTCGCGCATGCGTTCGCAATTCCGGCGAGGTGCAGTCGCCTTCAGAGACCTGTTTAAGTGCCTGTAAAACGAAGGACACACAGCGAAAAAACCCCCACCGGCCATGGCACTGAGTGAAGACCCGCCCAGGTGGCAGCGGCTGGGGTGTCAGCGCTTGGAGCGCTTGGGGCCCCGCCGGGCCTAGCACTGAAGATGCTTTCAAGCGGAGACAAAGTTGTTTGGACCGAGCGCCTTGGAAAAGCTCCAGCTTCTGATTGCCAGCATCGCCTGCGAAATACAGTATCTGGGATCTTTTTTTAGCAAATGTTGCTGCAGGCTGCTTTGACAGCCTTGAAACTGGAACCGGCCTTTCTCCCCGGCAAAGCGAACGGCAACGCGCCCCTCCGAGTCTTCATAGATCTCGAAAACGTGCGACCTTTGCGTCAGCACTTCTTGCACCTCCAGAGCAGAGCTGCGGTCTCCGAACCGAGTGCTGCGAATGCCTTTTTGCAGGTTCCTCGCATAGACGTGCAAAACGGCTGGTAGCTCAGCCGCTGATGAGACCGCCGACAACTGTCTGGTGCGCCCTGGTTCTGCTCGTCCTTGCATTCTTTCAGCGACCTTGATGTCGCACCTGCTGGTGGCTCGCCTGGATTGAGGCCAGCTGTGGAAGATCTCTTCGCATCTGTGGAAGATCTCTTCGGGTGTAGCTCCGCGGACTGCAAGATGTCCCCCGTGTTGAAAATACCCTGCTATCGTTTGTGCCGTTTCGCTGCTCTCTTAGCCGGGACTTCCGGCACCAGGCCATGCAGCACCTGCTGTGGGAAACAGGGCAGTCGGAAAAGGAACCTTTTCACATATATATTGCCAGCTCATACTGCAACATGCCGGCTCGCAGGGACCCCAGCCCGCAGCCTCAACGAATCCCGCCATGACGGAAGGACTAGTTTTATTCCTCTCTGCTGGCCAGGACCTCCTTGTCAGAGGTTCTTCGGAAAAGACCCGAGGCCTAGAAAGTACATCAGAGGGCCTCATCCTTCCTTCTCCGTCGCCTCTTCCCTTAACTTCCCAACCCTTCTTCGGATGTGCCTATTCTCAACATGCCCACCCGGGCCTTTTGCAATCCACTTGTGATGCCCGCTTCTTCAGCCTCAGTCGGCGTGAGCCACAGCACCTCCCTCTTTGGCTCTGCCGGAAGGCCCGCAGATAGAGTGCCTTTGAAGACATGCATGAAGTGGTGCTCGTGGGAGAAAACCTCGGCTGGGTTTGCTTTTGTTGCCAATGGCATGTACCGCAGTGGAAACAGCTGCTCCCAACGAGCCCTGTTCTAGTGGCTTTGGGGGACAGAATTCGCTCGAGCCTTGCAGACAAGTCTGGCCCTACCTTTTTGAGTCCATTTATCTGCGCACATTCTGTATACATGACTGTCAAGACGAAGTCTATGGAAACACGTACAGTACCGGCATAAACTATGTCGTCCCCACAGCATTGCCCTTAGCCAGCCTGGAAACATGCTCGATGGGAGCATCGAGACTTGTAAGAGGCATATCACGGCAAAGACCGAAGTCGGTCAGCATTTCTCGCAGGCAAGATATTGCATGCGAGATTCCCTGCGTTTGATCGCCAAGCTCTATGGATGGAAACTCGAGTTGCCCTGCAAGCAAACCGTTCGGCGGTCGGCGCACGAGCATCCAGGCACCGTTTGCATTCGCGACAGCCGCAAGAGCCAGGACACGTTGGCGCCGAGGCTTTTGGCTTGCTTGCTTGGCTGGAAAACCAGTCACAGAAGTCACTGTGCCTGCGGCTGCCAACTTGTGCGCTTTGCAAGCCGTACGGACAGGGCATCGACTACATGCTGGGGCAAGAGGCGTGCAGACAGTCGCACCCAGTTCCATTAGTGCTTGATTGAAGGCAGATGGCCTTTCAGGATGCAGGAGAGCTTCGGCGAGTGTCCAACACTGCTTGTGCAAGGCCGGCGACTTCCCATGCCCTGTCAGTGCTGCAAGGCGGCTAAAGACACGCACAACATTCCCATCCACCACTGCAGCTCGCTTGTTGAAGGCAATCGATGCGATGGCTCCCGCTGTGTACGGACCAACACCAGGGATACGAAGAAGATCTTCGATGTTCTGCGGCAACTCTCCTGCGGATCGGCTTGGCGGTTGGACGAGGTTCTGCTGATATTCGTGCCGGGCTGGTCGCACACAAAGGTGTCTGTGCAAAGCTGGCCAAAACCGCTATTCTGGTTTGCAACATGGCGTTCCGTTTGCTCTAGCCTTTTCCTGTTGCTAAGAAGCGAGGCTTCGTATGACATAGCAACGAAACGGGCTTACAAACCCGCAGAGAAGGCAGGAGTCAAACACTACAAGCAGTGGCTGCTAGTGTCGGTGCCCCTCTCTGTATCCTCATAGTTTCAGGCCCCATAACTGCAACACCGAATTCCAACTTGACCAGACTGAGACAATAACTACAACCACAGCATCACATCAGCCTCCATGATGCTCCATGACGTACCGGGCACCCTCATGCAAGCGCCTGGCCCGTCCGTAAAAGCCCAATCCTGCCCAGGCAGCATTCACTTCCTCCGCGGTGGCTGCAGCCAATGCGTCTATGCTTGGAAACAGATCCATCCAGCGAGTCCAGTAGCCGATAACGACTTCCACCTGTGTCTGCTGCAGCATGACTTCGGACACCCACACCCCATAGGCGCTCCGCGGGAAAGCCCCTGGCCCTGCAGCTTCTTCAGACTCCAGATCAATAACGACCCCGCCGCTTCCCTGGGGAGAGGCTTTCAACCTGAAAAACTTCGACAAAGGCTGGCAGCGTTTGGAGGACTCTCTCCTGGCAGCTTCAGATCTCAGCTTGGCCTTGTTTTCACTCCAAGGAGGCGGGTCCCCTCTCCAGGGCAGTCGACGGCGTTCGCAGTCGTACCATCTTAACAGTGCTTCTCGGATTTCCAGCTCGCTGCCGGACCAGCCAGACACAGGCACATCACCAGGAATGTCTTCCACGTCTGGCAATTGTCGGGCCCCGGTGTCGTCTTCAGCTTCGCCACCATTGCTCTGCAGAAGCATGTACGGCAGAACCAGCAAGCAGATCGGTCGTCTCAAGCAGCAATGTAACCTATGACATGGCCTAGGAGTTATCAAGAGCCAACAGAGGGCTTGAATTGCACTCGGGTCACACATGCCTTCATCCACCCACAACATGCACCGATGCACCTGGGTGGACTTTCGGATGATTCTCGACCTTGGCCGCCAGGCTCAAGCCCCTCAATTCCCTCGCTTCAGCCGCTACTGGTAAGAACAGGAAAAACGGTGCAGCTTCCTCCGTTCGAACCCAGTCACAGCACAAGCTCGCGCCACTCTCGGATAAGAACTGGCTGCTGGTGCAGATGGGCCATGGGACAAGTGCCTGCAGCACAGTGACACAAAGTGCAGCAACAGTGCTGCACAACATGCAGGAGTGCGTTTGGGGCCATATTCGAACCACCCTTGCTAAACTCAAACCGCTTGACCAGGAGAAGGGACTGAAAGGTCGAGCATCCAAGACAGCAGCTTCAAGCCAAGGGGCGGTTTTCGCACTGCCGCAAGTGGTCCTTCAGCGCGTTGGTGAAACGGCTGCAGGGATCAGCCTTCTGCTCCTGCACCTGCTGAAATCTTGCCTGACAGTGCAATGCGGAAGGAGAAGTGTCAAAAAATGCCAGAGAAGCGACAGGCCTTTTCTTGCTCAATGGCCTGAACGGCCTGCTGCACACCAGCCAGTTGGGCCTTGGTGACACTTACCCAGTGGTTGCTGAGCTTGAGAGGCCTGGCCGGTCTCCAACTCTGCATCAATGGCAGGACAAGACATTGGAATGCTTGAAAGTCGCTTGGAGACGTGCGGCCTCAGGCCACCATCGCGAATCCTCCGAGCACTCTTGCATGCTGAATACTGAATACTCTCACAGAAGTTCCCCACTCGACCATGCTCCTGCTGCTTGCAGAAATTGATGCGCTCCACCAGCTGCTGCCTCTGCTCGCAAAGTTTAGCGAGGGCCGCTTCCTGCATGTTAGACGCAGGGCTCGCTCACAGCCCCCAGAATCGTGCCCACAAGAACCCCGACTAAAACTCCCACGCGTGGCGTCCTTCGCTGCCCTCTCCGATGCGAGCGCCGCATCGCGGGCCCTCCATGCCTCGATCGGGGAACGCGCCTCCTCGGGAGCACTCGGGACATGTTCCACGACAAGCTCACAAGCTCCGCTGCCAAGATCCAAACTTTCGGGTCGACCAACACTCGTTGCATCCATCCGGCCTCTTGAAGTCGTGCCACGGCCTCAGCCCTAGCAGCTTCTTGCAGCAGCAGCGCGTCCATGTCATGGCAGAGGCATGCAAGGATGCAAACAAAGGGGACGGCACGACATTCGCTGAATGCCCCTATGCAAATCTCATTGACTACGCTTTGCTGAACTGCACGGCTGCAAGCCGTAGCTCGTGTACGCTTGACCCCGTGGACGTGTTGGCAGCCAACATTCAAGCCAAGCTTTAGATCAACTCGAAGAGGTCCAAGGGTTCCGAGTTGCAGACCGGATGTTGGCACGCTCGAGAGCTTCTCGGTCTCGCGCATCCTCGAGATCAGCTCAAGGCGAAGCCTAGTCTCCTAGTCCTAGATTTTACAACGTGGCGAACCTCCGCGCCACCGATCCAAATCCAGTCCAGATCCTCGCAGAAAGAGCAGAGAAAGTGCTTAGTGCTTTTGGATGGCCACGTCCGCTGTTGGTTTCAGGCACCTCGTCTTTCACTTGGCCCATCTTCTCGTCTTTGACGACTTCGGCCTTCTTCTCCTGATCCCAGTCTCAGGTCCCCGTTGCATGGTGCTGCATGGGAAACGCTTAGCGGCTTAGCTTGCCTTCTTCTCCTTTTTCTTTTTCTTTCCATTCTCAGGCTCCGCAGCGTCCGGGGCCTCCGGGGCCTCCTGGGCCTGTCAGAGGCAGCTGCTTGGGTCTTGTCCGACTGGACAGGCCGCCCAACCTCTGGAGCTTCCGCCCCGTCGCCGTCAGGCATTTCTCTAACTAACCTGAGTTCGAACCACGGCATGCGGGCCACGAGGACATCGGGACGTTCTACTGTGTCTGGGTAGTCGGCACGGGCACCGAAGGAGCGCCACGCAGGGAATCTAACAGCTGCACGAGCCAGGACAAGGCGATCCTCCGTTTACTGCATCGGCAGTCTCGGAACGTGCAGTTGCACTTGCATGCTCTGAAGTTGAGCGGGCCTTGCACGATTGGGATAAGTTAGTTTACAAACATCAGGCAGAGGTTCAATGCTTAAACAATCGACGCCATGCGTGGCATGAAACTCAAACACGCCCAAAGGTCGGGGCCTGTTTTGGGGGCGGAGAAATATCGGTGGAGGCATCACGGCATCAAGCCTTCAAAAGGCGTCCACATTGATCAGAACACTCGGTGGTCGCGAGGAACCATCAGTGCTTCCTGCCATCGCTGGCCGAGTTGAGAACACGCTTTGGGAAGCACCTTTCCATCTCGAGTCTCTTTGGTTAAAGCCTACCGCTAGTTGGACTGATTTTTCGAGGTCGCGTAGTTCCTGAAGCATCTCGTGGAAACTAGCGAAGAGCTTCGCCAATTTTTCCGTGAACATGCAGCAAAACACCAAAGCGCAGCGTTGCTGTCCAGAGATGTCCAGAGCTAGACTGGGCAAGCAGGACATCTGGCATGCTCTCGCGGATTGCCAACACTAAGGCATCTGCAGTATATTGTCCGTGCGTCGTTCGTGTGATTCCTGCAGGCTGAAGAGCAGTCATTGGCGACTTTTCCGACTGAAACCGAATCTGTTAGGGTACACTGCGTGTGAGTGTCCCTGCAGGTCTGGACAGATGCTGACCAACAAAGCGCAAGTTAGCTTTGATTGCACTTTGTGGCCTTGATAACTAGTGCTGCATGCAGATGCAAGATCCACACAGGACCTATGGATAAACCAATCATTTGTAAAAGGCCATCTTGTTGTTCATTGGCAAAGAGTAGTCTCCTCAGTCGCGAATCAACAAGTCTGTACCCATCCCGAACGCACAGCGCCTGTTCAATCTGAACACGGCCAAGACTCCGCTGGCGAAGTACGGTTCCAACTCGGGAAGCTCTCGAAACCGCTGATAAAAAGCCTGCAAGGTGCAACGTTTTGCAAGTCGTGGACACGCAGATATATACTCGCCGACACTGGATGAACCGTTTGCTGAAGTCGACTCGCGACCGTACACTTGCCGGCGGAGACACGTGCTCACAACCAACTATGAACTGTACCGTGCTTATGTCAAGAAACCTGCCTTCAAGCAAGCATGATCCTCAAGTGGAGATGCGAAGCCGTACGCACCTCAGCACATCGTGCAAGTTGCCACAACCGTCGTCCCACGCTTGCTTGCTACGCGTACGAAGACCCAACTCTTCGTCCCCATTTCTGTCTCTCCGCTCTTCGCCGTGATACACGCACTCCCGACCACCCGCTAGTCAGATAAACAATCAAGACTCAGCCTTGACTCAGCAGGGCAAAGCTGTCTTGCGCTCTCCCCGGTGCCAGCCGTAGGATTAAGGGACACCTGAAGACACCTCCCCGCCCTCTTCCTCCTCAAGACTTGAAGAAGAAAGCAGTTGCACCCTTCGCCTGGCAAAAAAGCGATTCCTACTCCTGTCCTGGTCGGTGTAACTGTCTCCCGGCACTTGCGCCATAAAAAACGTCCATTTCGAAGAATTGCCTGGGCTCACGGCGAGCCATGCACTCCTGTTGGTCCAACATCTCCCAGACCTGAACTAGCTCCGGTGGCATCTCTGTTCTCTCCAGCAGCATCTGTTCCATCCGTTACACATCAAGTGGCAAGTCATCACCTGTGGCACCGGCATGAAAGTCTGCTGTGCAGGGCCTTGAGCTGGCAAAGAAAGGAGCATCCTTTCGCCTGATGGAAAACACAAGATATCTGGCGCAACTGGGACTTGTCTCGAGTGAGGCGGGCGGAGCAGGGAAGTGAGCCGAGGTAGGCGGGGAACAGACTAACCGTAACCCAAGCATGGCTGAAGCATGCTTCGTGACATAATAGTCAAAAAACAAACAGGATACTCTGCACGCTCATAATCGGAGCTGTGAGGAGCACTGCACAATTGGCCCATGGAAAACCGAAATAGCTCCGCGACTTGAGAATGCTCCAGTCCATATCCATATTCACCGTGTAAAAATATGCACCAGTTGGGCGAGCCGCAATGAACCGTTACAGCGATTGTGCTTGGGAAAGCGGGTACAACCAGCACGGGATCAGAAGCTTACGTCATAAGCACGTCCCCTGTTGCTGCGGCTGCACTCAGATCCTAGATGCAGTGCTGAAACACTCTACGAAGATTCACAGATACGAGGCAGCTTGAATGTCGCAGACACAAGCCTTCACTCATGGATCAGCACCCATCGCAAGTGGGTCACTCGTACGTACGTGTAGCTTCAGCGCCATCAGACTACTTCAAACTCATGCTAGACTCCTAGACTGTGTTGCAGCCAGCAAAGGCAGCCTGAGCCATGCTTCCAGCTTTTCGTAGTGGGCGGACACACCTGCACAGCATTTTCAGCGCTTCACACACTTTTTCCAACAATTCGATCACAGCACATGCAAAGAGCGATCGAAGGAGCTGGTTCCGGACGTATTCCACATCACGCAGCGATATGTAAGGAAAATCCATTGGTCACCTTGGGTGGCATCGAAAAGCCGCTGCAGGTAGCATTCTGCTAACCATCAAGTCGACACTTAGCGGCAGTCGTTTGGACAAGCACAGCCAGAGCAACAGGAAGTCACGTCTAAGTTCCGAAAGCGTATATGTCTTCGGTCTTCAGCTCCTCGCACCGAGTTCGCCGTTTTTCTGAGTCAACGGTAGGAGAAGTCGAACGTCACAGTCGTGAACAAATTCCGAACCCTCGACTTGGCGAACTAAGAAATGTCAATACTCATTCGATCTGCATTTCGCCACTCGGACCGGACAAAACTTGCTGCAGGAAGGGGTCGGAAGCGGAGAGCCTGGAGCCCAGAATGACTTCCAGCAGCTCAATCAGTGGCCGGAAGTCCAGGTCTTCGTCTGGTGCCAAAGCCTCATTACTGAGAAGGATGTCAAAGGCAGCTTGGAAGCCTTCCCAGTTGGCCCGCTCCACGTTGTATAAACCAACGAATAGCATCAACTCCACTCCACCCACCTTCTTGATGACATCACAGTCTGTAATACTGTCGCCTATGACTACCACGTGCTGCCGTCCGATCTTGGCAAAGTAAGCATCCTGCAGCCTCCCGATTTCACACTTTGTGTCCGGCGTGATCTCAGGCGAGGTGAAATGCATCAAAGTTCCTTCGTCGTCGAATACCATGTCATTTGCACAGATCTGCACCGTCTCAGGATTTACTCCTGTCTGCCGCAAGACTTCGGCGATGATCTGACTGATGCCAGCTGAGACAACAAGGACTGGCACATGATGTTCCAGCAGCAGCTGGAGGAATTCTACGAAACCCTCTCGAATACGTATACCACTTTCTGCCACGATCGACGAGAGCAAGGAGGCCTTCAGACCGTGCTTGACAAAAAGACTGTGGCTACGACTCCACCATTCCTGCCACGTCCAGCTGCCGCCTAAAAGGCCTTCCTCTTGGTCTTGCCAAAGCTTCTGGTAATCCGCACGCAGTTGGTCAGGCATCCTCAAGGAATGTTCTATGGCATCGTGGCACTGAGCCATTTTGGAGCCATCAGGATTCCGAAAGCCTGTAATCGTGTGGTCAAAGTCGATTATCACCTGCAACTGTTTGCCCTTCAGCGCCCTGCAGCACTGCAGGCTTCCGGGCTTTGGCAGCCACACTCCAGCCCCGCCCATCTCTAAGACTTCTCTATGGAAGTGTGTCGTGCTGCGCTCTGAAATGCTGCTTCAATTATCTTTTTCCTTTGAACGCAGCAGCTGCAAAAAAAACATCAAAGAGCCAAAGAAGCCGCTAGAATCCCGCAGTACAGTCGCGGAGAGCAGCCAGCAGCGTGCGTGTGAAAATCCCGGGGCTGTGAGGACTCAGCTACATCTTTCTATGTGCCAGTGCCTGAGAAATGATTGTCCAGCGAGGATCGAAAACTCTCTTCTGTCCTGGACACCACACAAAGTCTCGAAGCCTTCAGCTGTGAACTCTCGAGCAAGTTTCAGGCAGCCTGCTGGTGTAGGAGGGATAGACCTGGCGACGTTCCCGCAAAGGCAGTGAACATTCCAAAAGCGAAAAAGCCCCGGTGCTTGGGCCCGTCCAACCTACAATGCGGTAACGCGACCCAACAACAGAGCGGGAAGCACCAGACACGAAACCCGATA